AAAATGCATATTGCCTTAAAACTGTTTTGGATTGTCAGTGGTAGGGTCCCAAACACTGCATGCTGCTGTCTGAAAACTCTGCTTTCTTTCAACGGGAACGATACAAATGAGCGATAGCAGCTGAAAAGCAGCATAAGGGCTCTTGAGACTGACATGGGCTGAGCAACAACCACACAGAAAGCTCTCAATGCCACCTCTGTCTAGCTGGAGATCTGTTTCTTTCTTCTTCTGCATTTATGTCCTTAATACGGCAATGCCGTTTCACATGCCTCGGTGCAACAATTGTTCCCCTCGCCATTAGCTGCGAGTGAGGTGGAGGAAGTACTTCTAACTCCTGATTTTTGCTTTCCCTTCTCCTCCAGACTTGTTCAGGACAAAAGAAGTCCCAACTGCCAACTCTAATTAAAATATCATGAAACTCACAGTGTATAAAACATTGTAAAAATCAGGCAAAACAGGAATGCAAATACACACTAGACACTCACGTATGAAAACCCTAACAAACACATGACGGTCGTTGCCCCTCTCACTACAAGTCGTACCAGTGCTGAAGTCCCAATGTTGATGCAAAAATAATTTTTTGTGTCCCCAACAGCTCTGTAACTGTGTGTCTCTAAAGGAGGGGTAAGTTTATGAGTAGCTCGAGGCATCCTATCTTTATTTTCAAGACAAGGTGAAGCTCTGTTTCTGTGTGGTACTTGAAATAAGCAGGAGCTGTGAGGTGAATCAGCAAAGACGCGGGCAGAGGCACGCTGCTGCTCCCCAGACTGCATTAGGCTGCCTATCGCATCCTAACGACGTCTGCGGGACGCAGCATCAGATTTGCGCTGTTCCCTACAGAGGCTCTTCCGCAGCTCAAACGATAAGGGGATGCGAGTCTCAGGAAAAGCAGAAACTGCTATTAAGTTCTGAATGGCCACGGCATACAGCGCAATGCCAAATGCGGAATCCCAAAGGAATTTATTTAAAGGGAAAATAAATCTCAGTAACAGCCTTCGGTTTGGAAAAGGAAGGGGTTTTTGTGTGGTTACTTTTCAGGAGAGATACGCAGATATTAAGAGGATGGGTGACTCAGAAATACCACAGATGTTTACAGTTCTACCCTTTATAGAGTCTCTTCCATAAAAAGATGCCAGACAACTTCATAAGCCTTGATGGATTGAACTTTTCAACATCCTGTTGGGTCAGATGATAGCAACATAATATTCACGTTAAAGATAAAATAAGACGCTTTCCCACAGTCATAAAGCAAAACTAGGAGCAGTAAGCAGTCCAAGCTTTTCTTCGCTGCAGAGTTACTCTGGTTAGTCAGCACCTGCTCAACGTACGCCGAGTATCAGCACTCATGTCAAAACCCAATCTCGTTCCTAAGTCCCTCTCTGCTTCTTCTCTTTCTACACATAAAGCCTTATGCCACAACTCTTTGTATAATGAATATTTTCTCTCTAGCTGATGGTGCTCTTTGTACTGTGTATGGTTTCTTCCCCTGTCAATGATGTCTGGGGCTTACCTGTCCTTTATAAGAAAGATGGGAAGTAACAGACAACTGGCAGCAGTCTAACAATCCTTGCCACCATTATCAGGCAAACGTGTTCTGGCATAAACCCAACCTACCACGACCTGGAAAATATTGTTATGACCCTGGCTGGCTTTGGGCCAGAAGTTTTATCTGCGTGGATGGGGTCAGTGAATGACAGCAACTGCTGGGAAGAGGTGCACGTGCTGATAAGCAAGTGCACTGCTCAGTGTGGTGATGTAAATGCTTTGCATTCCCATAAACAATGTGTCAATTACTTGGGAGCTGTATGCAGAATGTTTCCTACAGTACTGTAAAAACTCCCCCTTCCCTCAAGAAAACCAAGCTACCTTCCCAAAAACGAAGGCTCACGCAAAAACCTTGTATCGGCTTCTTTCAATTACACAAACATCAAAACGAGAGCAGGAACCTTCGTTCAGAAGTGACTTTCTTTCTACGCAATGGTTTCCAAACAAAATCAGCTGTGTGGCATGTGCTGCCAAAACAATAGCTACCAGATTAGCAGATGGTATGTTGTGAATTAAATGTTGACACAAACCCCAGACATACCACTCAATCTTCTCTTGATGCCAAAACTTATTTCCCTACTATTTTTCTCACCTCGTGATATTTACACACAGCAAAGAAATTCTTTAGATACTCCATCTGGCTTTAGAAGGGACAAGTTAACCTGCAATATCCTATTACTCTGCCATCTTTCAAAGAAAATAATGCAGTTTGATTACTGCAAAAAAAAACATGGAGCAAATGGCTCTGAGAGCCTGGACGCCTCTACACTTATGTTTGTCCTCCTCTGCCTCCATGGCTGCAATAACCAGATGCTCCACCAAAGTCCTCTCACACACCCTCCAGATGCAGAAAAGCATGAGCCTGGGGTTGGCGAGCCCAGAACTATGTATGTACTAATCCACCAGCTGGCTGCAGCTAAATCTCTGTAGTATTATCCATTGCATCTCAGTTCTGCCTGCCTGTTACCTAGGGGAGCACTAATCTGGGTCTCTCCCTACCCCCCAGGTATTGTTTTTTCCGAAGTTTGAAGTTTCTACCCTTCTTTCTAACGCAGCTGAAACTGCTCAATGGCATCGAAGTCAGTAGGGACAGAAAGGGCGGCACGAGCAGGCAGATGCAATCGCACGGGCTTCGTTTCTCTGGACTCCAGGTAATTTTGTTAATTTTACTGTTTTCAAATAATAGAAAACAAAACACCACCGCAAAGCGGCATTTACATAACCGGGAGTTTCCAGATGCCTGAAATCTTGAGTTCAGATCTAAATACCAGAAATTGGATGCTTAAATCGCAGCGTACTTTTCTGCTCAAACAACTGCACTTCCAGAGATGCATCTCCACATGAGACACCCCTTCCCGATCCCGGCACTTCGGATCAACAGACCGGGGAATCTCACTCCTTCTCTTTTTCCATTTCCCACATTTAAAACATAATTGCTGCTAGCCCGAGTACCAAGATTCGCACCAACTGGACGAATCTTGTACAGCTCTTGGGGAGTTTACAGGGGGTTACCAGGGACTGGCCGTTACCGGCGGCCAACAGTCAGCGCCCGCCAGCCGACGCCT